AAGATGTTCTTAGACCTTAGAAAGTTTCCTCTGATTGGGTCACTGTTTGTTCAGCGAAGAGTGCAAAAACAATGGCCAATAAATGGATGGAAGCTGTTAGGTCTGAGAATTCTGTGTTAACTGCAGTACAAAGGGTTAAATTAATCTCTCCAAAAGATTGTGATCAAGCAAACATGCGTTGTAGCGACAGTGGTTCCAATGCAACAGTCAAAGCTCTTTATACACACTCTCCAAGCTTTCCAGCAGAATACATACACTCCATATAAGAAAAATATGTTTTTTTCAAAAAACCAATTTGCAGTCGCTTGACTCTCGGGGTTACAATGACATGTGCACTGCGGGCATATTTGCTAGAGCGTTTCATGGATTCAATTAGTTCATCGGTGAGGCACAAGAACTGCTTCTCTCCAGGCAACCATTTTGATTGAATATTTATAGATTTGCAATGTAATGAGATCTGTAGAATGCTGACGTACATTTCCTCTGAATGCAACATGAAACTTAGTATGAGATACAGCCATGGTGACTGTTCAGTAAAGTGAGGCTAAACCCATCTCTATTCCTGGTTTAACTCTGAGAGAGCTTGTTCAAATGGGTACACTTGTAAAGTGCTTTTTAAGGTAACCTAGAAACTGCTTTGCATGATAATATTGAAATTAAATAAAAATTGTATACCCAGTCTGCAACCTGTTTTACTACTGCAATGTGATGTATTTGCTGATGTTCCAGGTCCCTTCAGTCTGATCATGGGCTTTTACTGTTGTTTAACAACATACCAATTGTTCAGCTGACAAGCCATGTTTCCAAAATACTTTCAGCAGACAAAAACTCTATAAAAGTATATTTTGAATATGCTGTAAACCCTGAATAAAGAAATAGTTCACCCCAAAATGAAAATTTGCTGAAAATGCACTCACCCTTAGGCCATCCAAGATGTATAAGAGTTTGTTTCTTCATCTTCCTCTGCAGGGAATGGGTGCCATCATAATTAAAGTCCAATTCCATAATCAATTTACATTTACATTTATTCATTTGGCAGACACTTTTATCCAAAGTGACTTACAGTTGAGGAATGCAACAAGCGATTTATCATAAGATGGCAATAAACACGAGAAGTGCCCGTTATACAAGGTTTCAGTCATCGTTCAAAATAGTAAAAAGCTAGGACAGGAGGATAATTGTATTATTATTATTAGTAGTAGTATTATTATGAGGAGGCTGTTATCCACAAGTAATCCAAAAGTAGCCACAAGTAATCCGAAAAGTATCCACAGGTAATACAGACGATATCAGTTCATCAATTCATGTCTTGTGAAGTGAAAATCTGATTGTTTGTAATAAATAAATACATCAAGGCATACATCGTGGTAATTTTAAACCAAGTCCTCTGTCCATACTGTAATATTAATTTCTTCAGTGAAAAAGTCATCTCACATGAATCAGAATAGAAATATGCACAAAAGCAAAGTTTGCAAGTGAAAACAGTCCAAAACTGTTCTAAACAAATATGTTGGTAGATTTTGATGGACAACAGGGGATGGACTTTATCATTGGAGGAAGCATTATTATGGACCCCTATTTTGGCCAGAAGCATTTATTTAAAGTTAAAATGCTTTAATGATGGATTTGTTTCTTAAAAACTTGCATCATTTTTTTATCAGCTGTTTGGACTCTCATTCTGACGGCACCCATTCACTGCAGAGGATCCATTAGAGAGCAAGTGATGTAATGCTGAATTTCTCCAAATCTGGTCTGACGAATAAACTAACTCATCTACATCTTGGATTGCCTGTAGGTACATTTTCAGAAAATTTTCATTTTTATGTGAACTACTCCTTTAAGGTGTATTGTCTCTCATGTGGTGAAAAATACCCAGATGATCTACTACTGATATTCTGGAGTACACGGGCGATGTACGATGGACACTTTACTATCCCATGAAACCACGAGACAGAGACAGGTCGCATGGCAACATGGTGGATGTAGTACGTCCAGATTACATTCATACCACACACATTCATACTATAGACCATTTTAATGCCAACATCACAATTATGTCACAGCATTAGCTGGAGGCAAAACAAAGTGATAACTGGAGTCAGCCAATACAAATCAACACAGAGTCGGCTACATAAGGATCTTAAAATGTCATCTTTGCATGTCAGAATCGATGGAATACATGCTCCAATTTGAAATGTTATCGCATACCCGCTCCCATTGCCAGACAAAAAAAAACCCCACGACAGCTGTGGTTAAAGGCAATAAAACGAGTAGACTGGACAGAAACGATCATCAAAAATGCTTCATCTGGACAGGCAAGTCAGGTCTCTGTGTTAAATTGGAAGAAATATGGCAAGCGGCATGTGAAATCAGGTGTAAAATCCTTTCGATGGGTTTGGAGAGAGAGCCCGGACTACAAGCACGGTTTTAGCCCTCTGTTTTCAGTCATGGATGGACACCAGCCCAATTCGGCACACCAATCCTAGAACGTGTGGAAGGAAGACGAATATCCAGCTGCTTGGAACGCCATCCGGCTCTGTTGCGCTTGACTCTTCATTCTCACTTTCCTTCTGTAGCTGTGCCAACAGAACACAATCGTTTTTCATCTTATTCGGTTGCAAAGTGATCTAGTTTTATTAGTAGGTATTAGTATGTAAAGTGTGGTTCTGGCACATGGACATTTATTATAAATGAGAGTAATTAAATATTAAATCTTAAATAATATTTTGCAGTATAAAGGATTTTTTTATGTATACGAAAAATATGTATATGAAATAACCATCTAATGAATGGAAACAAATTTGAAGGCGGCAAAAACTACATTCTTCAGTAATATATTTTTCTGCTGTTTATGCAGATCATTTAATGCAACTTCATAAATGCATGCATGTCTCTCTAAAGAAACTGATACTTGCAATATGAGAAATAAAGTAATGATGTGAGAATGGCACGGTCTCGTTGCTGATAGAATGCCTGGAGACCCAATTAAAGATGCTAACAACTTGGATAAACATTATTCCTTTTTTTTCACTTGAGATCTCAGAATTATTCCAATACAAAACAACAACAAAAACAATCCAACAAAAATCCTTCTAGTCCACACAGATATCCAAAAGTGGTTCTCAGATGGATGTTTGTGTTACTTTTCTAAATGTAATATAATTTAATCTGCCAATATTTTATATTCACAAAAAAGAAGCCCTCTTACATCTTTTGTCATGATGAGGCAAATTTCAGCCAGATGTAACATGTATGAGCACTGTAGTGTAGATTGTGTATTAATATAATATAATATAATATAATATAATATAATATAATATAATATAATATAATAAAATATAATATAATATAATATAATATAATATACACATATTATTAATGGTTCTTTTTATCATCAATGTTGAAAACAATTGAAAACATTTTTGGGAAAGCATTTTTTTTCAGGGTTCTTTGATGAATAGAATGTTCAAATTAAAAGTTATTAACATTTATTTGAAATATAATTTTTCATTATATTATAAATGTCTTTACTGCCGCTTGATCAATTTATTGTGTCCTTGCTGAATAAAATAATTTCTCTCTCTCTCTCTCTCTCTCTCTCTCTCTCTCTCTCTCTCTCTCCTCACATTTCTCTCTCTTTTTTTTTGTGTTTTTTTTTTGTTTACACAAAAAATCAACTGGTCCTTTGTCATATTTTTTTAAATGCAAGCATGACTTAACAGTACAAATTACATCTAATCACCCAGCAACCATCTAGAAATTGCATTATAACCCACCAGAACGCCATAGTAACAACCTACAATGCCCTTACAACGATCCAGAACACCTTATCAACCATCTAGCAATGCAATGCTCAATAAAAAAATTTCTCTCTCTCTCTCTCTCTCTCTCTCTCTCTCTCTCTCTCTCTCATCATACTTATCTCAAGCTTTTTAATGGTACTGTATTATGGTTTCCACAAAAAATATTAGGCAGTACAACTTTTTCAACATTGATAATACGAAATATTTTGAGCACCAAATCAGCATGTTAGAATGATTTCTGAAGGATCATGTGACACTTAAGATCGGAGTGATGATGGTGAAAATTCAGCTTTGCCATCACAGCAATAAATTACATTTATAAAATACATTCAGACAGAAAACATCTTAAAACTTATTTTAAGATGTACATTACAGTATTTGATCAAATAAATCTTTGGTGAGCATAAGGTACTTATTTCAAAAACATAAACAAATCTTAATTATTCCAAACTTTTGACCACCAGTATATTAAATATGAATTTAAATAATATGTGGGCATGTGAGAGCTTCCTATTATACAAGGTTCCAGTTTGTGTGTGTTAATAACTATTCATAACTGTGTTAATAACTCTCATAATAATGACAAATCTAGGTCTATACACTGTCCCAATTTGTGCAATCTTTGCAGATCCAGCAGAAGTACACTGGAAAGTGTCACAACCACCACATCAATATATATATATATATATATATATAAAACACATGTAGATGATTGTGTGGATGTTACAAATCAAATCAAACAAGTGAACGTGCTGATTCAGATTCAGTTCTGTCCTTTAAAACCCATTTGCATGATCACAAATCAAATTATATAACCATGACAATTATACTTGTAGGCCTACTACAAGACAGTGATTTCACCCCTGTAGCTCATTGCTAATTGGTTAAATTGATGGTGTTACAACTCACGCTGTGTTCCAACATCTCTGATGTCCCGTACTAATGAACAACATGCACGGTATTTTCAATTAAACAGGCATATTACATGAGCCTAATTAATACGGGACAGCAGAATGTAACATGAACACTGTTGTCTAAAGTGTAACCAAACATCCAAATCGACAGAAAGTTATTAACTGCGCGTCTGTACTATCGGTAAAGCGTCTCCATGTGTCAATCTGAAGTGGGCGGGACCCGCGTCTGCTGCGGCGCTCTGGAGAGGCAGAGACTCAGGCAGGGGCTGAAGTGCCACTTTCACAGCATTGCCAGTGCGGGCAGCATCTTCTCCCAGCCTGGGTACAGTAACTGCTGCACGCGACATATCCTTCGGATCTGGACAGGAGATTCGGGTTTGCTCCATCAATGCGATCCGAGCCCGAGTGAGAGCGCACCATCCACCTGGATAAGCGGCATCAGCATCAGCATCAGCATCAGTGCAGGGAGAACACGGGCGCAAGCATCTCCACGAGAATATGATGCTCCAACAGCACTTGCTTTTTGTGCTCTACAGCTTCTGTGGGATTGTCATTAAAGGTAAGAACCCTGGGATGTGCGGCCACAGTGTGATGCCCTCTGGGTGTGGTGGGAGTTGGCAGGGAGAACGGAAATGCCAGTCTGATTTAAGCACACATTATCATAAGCCCCGTGCTCAATTACATCAGGGATACTATTTCATAAGTAGCTCGCGCTTTTGGACAGGTCATATACAGTACGTGTGTTTAGTGGCATGATGATGACAGTGCAGATTTGAGTTCAGCGCACATTCTCTTGCATGTGCGTGGGAAGTTGTTTGTAGTTAATTTCAATTATGTTTGCGACCCATCATCCATCAAATTAGCAACTTTAGACGCAGAACCATGCGCTCGTTCCAAACTGATTCATAAGGTTCGCTTACGCAGCACAACAACTCAATTACGCGCAGTTCTCAGTGTGATTTGATGCGTCTTATGGGCTGTATTTATTTTTTATTTAACTTTGGGAACACTGATCCAGTAACGACCTTCTTATACCAAATTATTTTTTTTATTTTTTCCTTCTTGTTCCAAATTGATTCAAATGGTTCATGTATTCTGATATCTGCAATGCAATCGCAGTTACGCGCAGGTTTGTTCAATGTTCATGGTGTGATTTGACCGTGCAAAACAAGTTGAACTTGACTCGTTACGGGTGATGGATGCTCTTTTTTTCAAGCTCTTTTTTGAGTATTAGTTGACCAGCCCTTGTTTAAGTCGGACAATCGCACGTTTCAAGCGCAGCGCGCTCTGGTATTTGCAAGATTCTACATCTTGGGGTCGTCGTAGCATAAGATTTTCTCTTCGAGACGCACGGTGTGCAAGTAAAGGCTGGAGATACAGCCTATGCATTTATGTACAGTAGCGATAACAGTTGTTAGACTGTGTAGTTTATAGATAGCAGGAATATTTCAGGGCGGACAGATGTGCATGGAGCCACGGCGGTCAGGCTGCAGCGAGTCGGTGCGCACTGCTGTCCCACTTTGACTGCTTCTGAATCCCGCAGGCGGATCGCGCGCCGCCGCGCCCCACGGGTCACGGATCTCACAGTACTCTGTCAACTCTTACACACCTTTGTGTTTTTTCCCCCCTATAAGTTCCGCACGAGTTGCAAAATGATGTGTGCGTAAATAAAATAAATAATAACCATTGACGATGTATACTGCCACTGCCAAAACATGACTCACTGCTGCTGGACTTTTATTGACCTGTAGTCCACATATATGTCTGCCAAGAGAGCTACAGCTGGTTGCTGCATAAAGAGTCAATATTATGTTACAGTATTAATATTGATTATTGATGTGGTGTATGTCTCAGTAGATACAGTATATATTTTGTGTAATGAATGCCATGTAGAGGAGACTGACGGAGTGTTGTAACACATGTTATTTTGATGTTGTTTTGCGATACATGTCTCAGATACTGATACAACATTTTCATATTTGTCTGTTTTGTAATCAACTGCTTATTTCTAAACTAATGTCATAATATAAAGTTCTGATGTTGCAAACTACTCCACTACATTTGGTGACTGTGAGTTGTAACACCAATTGAAAACCTGAACATACACAATTCTATTAATTGTTGTTGGTAATCACATATATGTGCTGAAAATAATTAATATGGCCCATTTCATTGTGATTCTCAACGTACACACACAACTTTAACAATTGAGTTCAAAACAGCAGATAGAAACATAATATGTACACTAAACATTTACATTTATTTCTGCACAAGCTTTAATCATGACATCTGTCTATATGTAAACATGCAGTAAACATGAAAAACATGCTGATATATATATATATATATATATATATATATGATAAATCCCAGAGACATTTAAAATGTACAGTATGTACACTGTTGTGATCTTTACATGATCTTTTTTTCCTTTTTCTTTGAACCCCTTTCTGCTGCTTGAAAAGCTGCTGTTACATTCAGACAGGATCATTGTGAATCTTTTTGTAACGTTATGACTAAATCAGACCAAAAACAATGCAACAACAGGTGATGGTTTCAATTAATTTGAAGGTATCCTTGTTACAGCGTAATTATACATTTAAATACTGAGCAATATTAAGTAACAACATGTAATTACTACAGGTTTAGGATTAGGGTTTAGTTAATGGTTCGATGCATGCAATTACACATAATTTACTGTCATTACTGGAGTAAGTACATGTAACATGTTACAAGGACACTGTAAAATGTTGTGTTATACAAGTAACTTTTGAAAGAGAGATTTTGCAGTGTGCTTCTATACTCTTAAAGCCCCCTCACCCGCTGTTCGGAGATGGATTGTGGGTATGTAGATGTCGGCATATGTTAGGTTTGGCAGTGTCTGTGCTGACGGCAGATCTCTATAATTATTCCTGGAACTTGGTGTGGATCAAAACCAATGATTGATTTTTTTCTTCTTGATATTGTTTCTCAGGTGTTTTAAAATTCTCTGTGTTTGCGTTCCCTCGCTGATGGTGGTAAATATGTCGGCTGTGAGGAAAATGTCATGTGATATGATATTTCCACAGTTTTATCAGTGTAGGCCACATATGAGAATTACATTTTATGAGCAGTGTATTATCACGTGGATACATATGTATGTTTTTTTTTTTTATTTAGAGAAGAAAGCTGGTTTTATTTCTTAGTCTCTTGGGGTTTATGTAAGATAGTTAAGTAGCTATTTCTTGCTTACGTTATTTATATACAGTTGACTTGCTGCTTGCTTGACTCATGGATTTAAATGCTTTACCAGAATCTTTCCATATGTAGATGTCGGCATATGTTAGGTTTGGCAGTGTCTGTGCTGACTGCAGATCTCTATAATTATTCCTGGAACTTGGTGTGGATCAAAACCAATGATTGATTTTTTTCTTCTTGATATTGTTTCTCAGGTGTTTTAAAATTCTCTGTGTTTGCGTTCCCTCGCTGATAGTGGTAAATATGTCGGCTGTGAGGAAAATGTCATGTGATCTGATATTTCCACAGTTTTATCAGTGTAGGCCACATATGAGAATTACATTTTATGAGCAGTGTATTATCACGTGGATACATATGTATGTTTTTTTTTATTTATTTAGAGAAGAAAGCTGGTTTTATTTCTTAGTCTCTTGGGGTTTATGTAAGATAGTTAAGTAGCTATTTCTTGCTTACGTTATTTATATACAGTTGACTTGCTGCTTGCTTGACTCATGGATTTAAATGCTTTACCAGAATCTTTCCTGTTTAATATTGGAAATGGTGACTCTGAAAAGTATTTTAATAATTTATATCCCAAGGATCCCTGCCATAAGATGTCAGTTTTTTTTCTGTTTTTTTTCCAGCTGCTTGATTCTTATCTTTTCTTAAAACGTGAACCAATGACTGTGCTGTAGCTCAGGCTCACAGTCTGAGTGCCTTCAGTGAAGAACAGACAGTGCAGAACAGTGCTTAGATGAATATAGAGTTACTCACTGAGCTGATTTATCAAATTGATGGAAAGATTCCCTTATACGACTTGATAAGAAGTGATAGATAATCTGTGGCTGAAGGGTCACATTCATGCAGGGATGCTTCAAGACTGAGTCAGTGTTCTCTGATGATTATTTTATGTCTACTCTCTTGCTATAAAACTATAAAATCAAGACCATCACTAGAGGTTAGTAAGATAAATCATTACTGCTGATTATCAGGGAATATATCTGTATTGTGTTGATCTCCAAATGGAAATTCATGAAAGTTTTGAATGGCAGAATCATGTATACTTATATATTTCCTCTGGCATTTCAGCTGTAATAATAACAAAGCTGCTTATTTTCAAACTGTTTTATTAAAAACGAAAAGCAAAAAAAAAACAAAAAAAAACATGAACATCAGCAGAATATAATAATTAACCATTATTAATTTCGTGATTCCAGTAAAAACCTATTTGAGTCACATAAGAGAAGAAGAATCATTATACTTAGGTAAATCATAATTAGTAAAAAAAAAAGTCATAGTTATGATATAAAAGATATAAATTAGGACATGCAAATCCTAATTATGAGATTATGGATTATGAAATAAAAGGTCAAAATTACGAGATTAAACTACGAGTCATGAAAAGTCATGAAAATTGTTATGCCATTATAATTATGACTTTTATGTCAGTTTCGAATTGTCATAATTGACTTTTTGTCATAATATTGTCTTTTTATGTCATAAAGATGTCAAAAATTTGACCTTTTACATCCAAATCACAACATTTTTTTATTTCATAGTTATGATTTCATGTGTCAAAATTTTGAGTTGTTGTCATAATAATGATCTTATCTAATATATATATATATATATATATATATATATATATATAAAATATCATATATAATTAGGTAAGATCATTGTGATTGTGATTTGGATGTAAAAGGTCAAAATTACCTTTTATATCATAACTATGACTTTTTTGTCATAATTAATAGTCATGATCATATTCTTACGTGGTATAAATGGCCTTCCACAGAATACAGATGTTTCAAGGATTACTGGAAAATGATTTTATTTATTTATTTATTTAAACCCACATTTTTTGGAAATTAGATTTTTTTTTCTTTTCTTTCTTTTTTTTCTATTCTTTCACTTGTAATGGTTCTCCAAATCTTAAATAAATACGACAGCTGTTGAGGAGGACACATTAAAGTAAGAATGATGTCAATTTACATCTTGATTTGTTTTTAAGAATCATTTTAAGCCATCTTATGGCCCCCGTGTGGGCCCCGGCCCCCTTATTGAGAACCATTCCCATTAAGGGAAGATATTTTTCAGCATTACAGGAATTATTACTCAGAAAGGCTCATCTTTTTATTGATTGATGGGATGTGTGAAAGAATCATTGAGACTTAAGGGTCAGAATCAATCCTGCATCTCCCACATGAGCACCATGACCACCATGTACTACCACACCACATGTCCGACAGGTCGGCGCTTTCTTTAAAGCTCATCAAACGTCTCCTACATTTCACCCAAAGCATTAAAGTGCACTTGATATTTGTAGTCCCCTACACGTCC